AGAGAGAGAGAGAGAGAGAGAGAGAGAGAGAGAGAGAGAGAGAGAGAGAGAGAGGTTAATATAAAATGCTCAGGGTGTATAATGTTACTTGTATGTGTACATTCAAGGCTGACCATTTGGCCCTGGATGGCCAATTGATGTGCTCTTTCCTAGGGAAGGCAAATTCCCCAGCTCCCTGCTATCTTCAGTTGCCAATAGCTCTTTGGGTCGTTTTGTAGCCTCATGTGCTTTCCCCCATACATTTTGCATGTGAGCTTTCTTTTTTATTGTATATAAGGCTGACTTCATGAGATGGACGCCATAATTAACATTAATCAAGTGGTCAACCACCTTAAGCTAGATATGTCCTGGGCCTAAAGGAAAACTTAGTATCTGTCAAAAAAAACTTAATCTGTCAAAGGAATAAACAGGAAATAATGGATGACATGACCTCACAGAAACTATGGCAGCATACAGCAACAACATACGTACATACGAGGAGTACATACCATTACCAAAAAATCTCAACTATAACCAAGAAGCTATTCATAATCGATAACTAATGGCTAAGTGAAAACCAATTATCTCAAATAAGATTTTGCTGGGAATCAACTGCATTCCAAGATTGGTTGTCCAATGCAATATTAATTCCATAATTTTTTGTACTTTTAAATTATTTTATCTTCTTTATATTTTGCTTTTTTATTTTTATTTTATAATATTTTGTTTTGGGGCATTTATTTTGTTGAATCAACATTTCTCCGTAGCTTTGGGGAAATAGCTTTTGTAACCTAGGCTGGCCCCAAACTCACAGAGATACACCTGCCTCAGATTCCTGAATGCTAGGAATAAAGTCATGCATCACCACCATCAGACATAGTGTATTTTTTAAGAATTGAAGAATATATAGTTGGGGTTGTTGGGAAGTAAGGTCAATTAAAACTATAGTTTAAATTTAAAAAATTAATGAAAGCAGTCCATTCATCACTGATACCATGACATAGGTTACCATTGTTGTTATTCTGTAAGTGTGCAAAAGTGGCATGCTGAATTCAGATAATTTGAATTAGTCATTAACTAGTGATTGGCATTTAAGTCAAGTAAAATGGTCATCTCTAATAAGAGGAGGTAACTAAACAATAATAAACTATTTATGATGATTTTTATTTTCATCATGCCTTTTGGTCCATTGTTTGCTAGTATGTTTGCTAGTATATTACTATTATGAGGATTATAATTTGATCTCAGGAAATATGATATCTTAAGTAAGTCTTATTTTGCTTATGAGTACATTGACTATGTTATGCTTTTTCCTACTTTGTGTTCATTTCCAAACCCCATAAGCGACAGAAAAGACTTAAGGAAAACTATGAGATATTTCCCATTCTTTGTGCTTTATATCATTCTTTTCCATTCATATTTTGAGTACAATACATTAACAATATTTTATAAAAGTTTAAACTTTTAGATAACTATTACTGGTTTGCTAAGATTTGTATATCCATGCAAACACTAGCATTAGAATATAACTTCAGGTTTGTATTCAATATTCAATGACATAAATTGTACATTTCATCATTTATTTTTTATCTTATATCCTCTTATTTTTGAATCGATGACTATAATAATGTCATTCTCAGAAAAGTGGGTGAAAATGGAGGTCATCATATAAAGTGAGATAAACCCAAGACAAAAGAATGGTTGGGAGATATTTTCTCTCATATGAGAAGTTCAGAAAAAGAGAATATATGGGTGTAATAGCAGCATTAAACATTTATGGAAAAAAGTTAGAAATAAAAGAATAAGAGTGTGATTAGACAGATGTATATTATCATTTTCTATTAGAAGTATATGTAAAAAATATAACAATGATACAGACTACTTTTGCAACCAATAAATGGATAATAGTTTCATGACATCTCACAAACTATATAATAAAAGGATAAATATTATTTGTATTTGAGTCTATCTTGAAAAAGTGTCCTAGACAGATACATAAACAGAAACACTCATGTTCTTAGTAATAATAACAACCTTGGTTAATATTTATTCATATAACTTAAGCAGTATTTACCATAATTAACGCTAAAGTATGCATTCTGTGAAATAGTATTTCAGTAATAACAATAACCATAAAATTGAACTTATAAAAGTATTATGAATATAACTTAAAATAATCATTCTTAAACATATATTTAGACATATGTTTATATATATGAATGTTTCTTTATTATTAGCTAATAAACCTGATATGCCTCTATAGTTGATGTAATCTATAAGCACTTAAGAGTGAAAATATATAAAGTAATTCTCATGTCTAACATTTTCCATGGGGAGCGTTATTTAGAAAGGATTATTTGTATGGAACTAAAAGATTATTGTAGCCTGGCTACATTTTTTCAAACACTGTGCAAAAAGGGCAGCATTATCTTTATCAGTTAAAAAATTATTTCATTACTGTCAGTGAGTGTTTTCTTAGGGATAATCAACAATGCTCTACTTCAGTTTTACAGAGCAAAGACTATATTGTTTCCCTGTTAATGTTTGAATGGTTTAGTCACATTTCATTATTTATTTGTACATTTTGAGAGTGCTAACATTTTAGTAAGGGAGTTTACATACTTTTAAGTACACATTTTAATAATAAAGTAGATAATAGAATTATGTTGAGACTGTTTAACTACAATATGACAACAGCATAAATATTTATATTCCTGTAACTTATGTATAGTTTGTTCATTCCCAAAAAACTATGATTTTTATTTAATTCATAGAAAAAAATTAACTATCTCATTTTAAGGCATAATGAGTTAAAAGTATTCTCAGTTTAATATACCATATTGTAAAGTACACAACTCATTCATAATACAAGGTACAATTAAAGCACAGATAAAGTATTGATCTTTCATCAATAATTTACTGTACTCAATAACACTTTAAATTTCATTTTCCATATCAAAGTAGAGCATTTAAACATCAGCATCATATTTTTTATTCACTATTAAGTCATTTATCACTGCTTTTAGATTTACCTCAATAATTAGTTTGGAAAGTTCAGTAAAAATTTGAGTGCTTTACAATTGTAAACACTGTCCAAGATGAGACAAACACCTTCTTAAAGGACCATGCCAACATATTCAACAGAATATGTGTATTTGAAAAAAAGAATGAATTGGTTAATGATTTTTAAATTTATTATTATTGATCCACATTTGTTCTCTTGAGTGTTTACTGCAGTTAATATATCTCCTCTTGTGTCTGGTTTTGTTTTGATTTCCTAGGTCAAACATCTTCCCAGCCAGTTTGGAAATATCATCTCTCATTTCTATGAGCTGTTGTTGGGGTCATAAAATGATTCCTTTAAAGATATTAGGAGGCTCCTTGCAGCTTTATTCCAGCCTTAATCTGTTATACAAAAGTGAGTAAACAAGCTGGAAGATCATAATCTTAAAAGAATATCACCAGAACATTTAAAAGTTGTATTTTCTTTCTTGTATTTATTTGCATGTTTGCTTCTCAATATTAACAGGCTGGCAGCAATAAATTCAAAGGAAGGTGGATGAAAAGACAACAAACATACTCTTTTTAGGCATTAAACAAACTGTTATTATTTTCTTCAGACTCAGTGAAGTGTTCATTACTAACCACAATTTGCAATGTGTAAGATCTTTAATAGATGCATTCTAAAATGATAAAAGGCAAAACCAGTTTCAGTTAACATTTATTTATAGAATATAATTAAAAAAATAATTTCTGAAAAATACATGGAGACTTTTATGCATGCTTTACATTTTATGTAAGTTAAAATTATTTTCTCTTATGTGAAACATAAAATTGTACATATAAACAAGGTAATATACACACAATGTAATATTTAAATCAAGTTACAATTATATATTGACTTCAAATGTCTTCTGATATTGGAAACCTTAAAAAGGTACATCATCTTAAGTCATTGTCAAATCAATTTGTAAAATTTCTTTGGATAAGCATTCTAAAGATTTCAACATATGAAAAACACAAACTAACAACACCAACACTGTAACAGGACTACTTTAATGATTGTAGAAATTGAATTAAAAAAAGGAATGTTTATAGGAGGGTGTATGTGTGTGCATGAAAGTGTGTGCTTGAAGGTAGAAAAATATACAGAGGTAATAAAGAACAAAGCTTACCCAAATACTAAACTAAAAATGTAGATCTTATTCATACAATGAAAGATATACTACATGAAGTGTAAAAGAAGTCTTGATAAAGAAGTAAATGCATTTAAAGAACAAGTAATTGTGTAATTATTGAAATACAAATAAAATACTTAATTTTAAATGATCCTACATATGTAATTTAGAATTATTTTTCTATTTAAAAACTTATTTCACTGGTTATTAAATTCAAGCCTTATATATACTCATATTATGTGTGTCAAATTTCAAAATGAAACACAATATTTTTCTTCAAAGTTGAATCTCATAATGAAGCTTATATTATTAATAATAATACATCTATTATATAAGCTACATAAGCTTTTATTATTTATAAATACATTCAAAAAATATGTTATGAAACTTACATCAATGTTTCTTATCTTAACTATAATTTGTTTATAAAGTTAACATGTAAATTTATATACAGAAAATGTTTTTGGTACCAAGCATTTCATTTACATGTAATATTCTAGATTTTATAACTTTTGAAATTTATTTTTGGATTCTTTTAAATAATAATTCAATCATAATTAAAATTGATGAATTAAAATTTATTCAGAAGATGTTGAATAACCTTCACTATTACTTTTGACTTTTTAATTTTCTGCTTGATTCATTATCTTTTGTCTAACATTTAATTTGAGATATATAAACGCCTTTGAAAATATGTGAATTCAAAAATGTATCTTCTTGCTTTACTCAATATCTTTATGTTAATATAAACATAATAATATTTACTGCTTAATTTCTTTTGATAATTTTTTTAAAAAATTGAAAAATATAGAATAACAAATTATATAATTAGTCTTTGATTTTGATAATTCTTAATCTTCTAATAAACAATGCTATAGAAATATGTGAAAATTTTAATCTGAAAGTATTAAACAAGAATAAATTGTTATATTAAATATTTATTTTGAAATGAAGTTTATTTTTCATGACTTATAGGAACACAACTTCATTATCCATATTTCATAATGTTAAAATGCAGATGCATGACAATTTAAAATAAAGTCCAGACTTACCTATTTATAGAAGAAACCTAGCTTTCTAATTTTTTAATATTTAAGAATTTTTTTCTGAATTTGTATTAAGATAATAGAAGCTTGATTATATGGAATAGTTTTAGGAAATATCCAAAAATTTATTCACTTCAATTATTTCTAGATTGAATTTCTTTAGTAAATGCCGACTAGCCATCATTTTTCAACTACTTCCTAAATTAGTTTATTGAATATATATATCTTATACATTTCATTCTATAACAGATGTTCAAAGTCTCACCTGCTCAGATGCAAACGCCATGGCACCTGAAGAAGTGGGTATTACAACTTGGTAGCAGTTACAGAAGAAAGAACGGAAAGATCTTCTTAGATTTTCAGGCTTCACAGAAAAATCTTCATTGTTCAATGTGCTCTGAGCTAGGGTTGCTGCTCTTTTAGTAGCACAACAATCTCAGTATGCTACTGCAAATTCAATGCTATTTCTGCTTCTCCAAGTAGAGGAATGAACACTGAGTCTTTTGTGCAAAATGCCATAAGGGCATTCTGATGTCATTTCTTAGTCTGAGGCTAAAATGGAAACAACAAAACAAGTAGTCTGAGGCAGCATTTTCCCCCCGCCCCCATCTCTTTATATCTTTCCTGTTTTGAATCTTTGCTAAAAACAAGCAAAAGAAAACTTGCTTAAGATGACATGAGGGAACTTATGTAACAGAATTCTACAAATGGAGAAGACATGCCCTCTGCTTGAAGATCACCCCAGCAAACAAATGATCATTTTAATGCTGTGAAAAAAATTACTAAAAGAGTCCTGAACTCTATGTCTAGGGTTCTAGATTATTTTTAATTAAACCATTTTTTACTTAAGAAACATATATATTGCATAAGGAGAAGACATCCTTTAAATTTTAATAATTTTATTTCCCTTGGCTTATTTATTAAACAATCTTCAATTTCAGGACCAATATTTAAGACGTGAAAATATGTCTTGCATGCAGGTTCATTTTTATCATAACCATGAAAATACAGCAGCAAATGTAGTAGAAGATAGCTAGTAGTTTATTAATGTAAGAAAGTATATGCTTATCAATTTATACTTTCATATTGTAAATGTGAAAAAACAAAATTCATTAGTTTTGATTAGACAAAAATGTTATGTGCCTTATTAACATTAAGCAAAACTAAGTTCTGCACATTTATATGAATAGTAGTACTCATGTACTTACTGATTATCTTATATTTTTATGACAAGTACATTTGATATATTGCAGACATTATTGAAAAATATACATCACAACTGAATGATTATTTATTAATTCCTGATGGTTGACTGAATAAATTTTCAAAGCTACAGCAGTCTGAAATGTTTATATGCATTGATGTAAATGCACATGAAAACACTTGGTTTTTAATACATATAATAACGAACACCCATCAACTCAGGAGTCCTTACTTTTACTGATCACAATTTTTCAAATCTTTACTTGGGTATCAGGCTAAAAATAAAATGTTCTCATATTTTTCTGCCTAGGGATTTTCAGAGTATCTGTGGCCATTTCAGTTTTGCCCTGCCACACTAGAATCCAACATGCCAACATCTAATGGTGGTGATGGATCTTCTCTGTGCAGAAACTGTTCTTTTTGGGTGCTGGGTGCCCTTGGCAGTGTTTCCTATGAATAGTGCTGTGATGAAAGAGACAGTTGCTGGAATTAACAGGTTTCTTCCTCAGTTCTGGTCAGCCTGCAGCCACAAATGTGCTTTCGGTCAGTTTTAAATGCTTAGGATTTAGAATGTCGATAGATTTTAAGCTGGTTATCCCAGACAACACAGTCATGAATCTATTCACCAATGTCCCTAAATAATCTTTTTACTCAGAATTAGTAGTTATAATGCCCACAAGCAATATTTCTGGCTTTCTGAACATGCTAACCAAACCCTAAATAATTATAGTCATTGAACACAGTTAGGACTGACTAAGAGAGTTTAGGAGAAAAAAAATGCCACTTTTTATCTGAGTACCATTCACACATTACTTCACATTTTATCCAGTCTACCTAACAATGTCATCTGGGTTCTAGTGTTGGTATCACCAAACATCACGGTTTTAATCCCTGAACTCATTCATGCTTTACTTTTCTCCTAAATATAAAATGTGATCTGCACATAAATATAAATTCCACACTTCACATCTTTCATACATGTGAAAGCAAAGCCAACAAACATTATGGATATAACTTGTATTATGTCTCTTGAAGCTGAATGATGGTAAATCAAAATCATTGCCTTAAAGACAGACAAACAAAACCACTGATTTTGATATTCATTTCAAACAACATTCGATTTTGCCACAAGTGTATTGTTTTGATTGAATTCACCTGCCGCTTTAGGAGCGATGTCACAGAGGATGTAGATGATATCCATCAAGAAAAAATAAATAAAATTCCAAATACACTCCAAATTAGCCAGTGTGTATTACAAGCTTAAAACATTTCAACTTTTGTTCAAGGAACTGTTGAACATTCTATACTAATGTCATGGATCTTGGCTCATCAGTCATATTTTCCAAGTCTCTGCCCATGTTTTCTCTTTTCTGATAACTCTGTTGATTGCTTTTTTGTGATTACTCTTAGCTTGGAAATTTGTTCAAGTGCTTATGTTTTTCTTGTTAGCCATCTGCTAATTCATGAACATGCAACATACATCAAAGTCCATTGCTTGCAATAGACACAGTGTAGGTGTTTACATAGGGATGATGTTTTCAATTTAATTTTAGTGATTATTGCTATTTAATCTTTATTTATGTCTTTTTCAGACCTGTCTACACCTTTTCCTCTTCATGTCTTTGCTGTTTGATCTGGTCATTTCTAAACATATTCCAAACAGCACTTAGAAATTACCCAATAGCCAGATTCTCATTATTAGGAATTTATTAGGTGCTAATATTTTTCTAATTCTAAGGGAGCATTTTCTGTAATATTTTATTAAATGTCAAATGTGGCATATAAACCTCAAAATTATATTTATATTTAACTGTATTGAAATTGTCTCACAGAAAGCAAAGACAAACTTTCGATGTTGTACTATATAAAGAACATAACCAAACATTATTCAAGTATCTAGGAACATATTTATCACCTTCAAAATGTTCAAAATAACATTTAAGTGGAAATTCACTAATGGCATAAAGTAATTAAGATTGTTAACTGTCTTTCTAAAAAAGTAAGTTATCATAATATTAATGGATTCAATATGGTATTTTCATACATGTATCATTATAACTGTTCTTTTTTATCATTTCAACACTGAACTTCCACCATTCATGTTAACTCTTACTAGCCCATTTTCTCCTATCCTTTCTTCAGTATTTCCCTTTTACTGACACATGACATGTATTCCATGACTTTTGTTCTCAATCACCTCAATCATTCTTTAGTTAAATCTCATTCCCCCATTTATGAGGTTCTTTCGAGGTCATGAACTACACAGTCATACACACACACACACACACACACACACACATCACATACATCCTGCACACATATTTAACTTCAAGTTCTGATAAATGAGAAACTTGTGCATTTTGATTTTCTGAGTCTTATTTAATTTGATAAATGTAGACATTTTTTTGCCAAAGATTTTATTGTTTAGAATGAATAAAATTGTATTTTGTATACAACATGTGTATTTATAAATTAATGCTTGTATATTCATCTATTGATGGGCTTCAAAGTTGGTTCGATTGATTGGTTTTGTATTAGAACAAGAAACAGAATTTTAAGGAAAATTACACCAAGATTTCAAAGTTACTGAGTAACAGTCAGCATTCTAATAGCTAGGCCTTATGATAATTATATCTTTAGTTTTCTGAGAAAACTCACTGATATCATTACTGGCTCTAATGTTTATTTCCTCACTAGTGGTGACTAAAGGCTCGTTCTGTTCACACATTTTTACAAGCACTGTTATCATTTGTGTCTTGAAATCCATTCTTATGGGGTGACATGGAAACTCAAAACAGTTTTTTTTTTCTTTTAATTTTTATTTATTTATTTATTAAAGATTTCTGTCTCTTCCCCACCGCCGCCTCCCCTTTCCCTCCCCCTCCCCAAATCAAGTCCCCCTCCCTCGTCAGCCCAAAGAGCAGTCAGGGTTCCCTGCCCTGTGGGAAGTCCAAGGACCACCCACCTCCATCCAGGTCTAGTAAGGTGAGCATCCACGAAACTGCCTAGGCTCCCACGAAACCAATAGGTACAGTAGGATCAAAAACCCATTGCCCTCAAAACAGTTTTAATCTGTAGTTCTCAATGCTAAAGATGCTGACATTTTATCACATATTTATTGGCCCATTTTAGTTCTTCCTTAGAGAACTCCCTAGTACATGATGGTGGGCTTTTTGTTTAAAAGATTTGCTTACATTACTGTGCGTTTTTTAAAAATATTTTATATTCTAAATATTAATCCTTTGTGTGAGGGATTAATATTTAGAATATAAAATAATTTTGAAAATATTTCCAACCTTTTTGCTTGGAAATATATTTTCACCAATTAGGCTGACTGATAATGCTGTCTACAGGTTCATTTATGTATTAATATGCTTTTAAATTTAATATGAATATTTTTGTCATTTCATCAGATTATTCAGTACACTACTGGAGTAATGTTCAAAAAGCCCTTGCCCATGACTATAACTATAGAGATTTCCATTCTGAATTTTTATAACTCTCAAAATGTAGGTACTACATTGATGTCTTTGATCCATTTTGAATTTTGCATATGGTGATATATATAATTTTAGTTTACTTCGTATACATATAAGCAATCTCTTCCACCAGAAACCTTTTAACTCCTTTCCAACTATACGTTTTTATTATTGTCCACCATTACAGCCTAAGATATGCTCTGTCCAAAAAGTGCTATATTTTTACACGTGAGGACCCTAGTACATATCCCTAGAAACCATTAAAAAATGAGAGAAAAAAGTAGGCATGGTGTCATGATTTATAATCTTAATTTCGAGGAGTTAGAACATGTAAACTTCTAAGGTTTGCTAGACCAGTAGCCCAAGTGGCTAATTTAAGGGAAAATAAAAGCCCTTATCTCAAAAGCATAGCAAACAAACACACAGATAAACAAAAGCCACATGTATAGTATCCCTTAGGACAGCACCTAATGTTTATTTTGGCTTATACTGACACAGACACACACACAGACATACACACACACACACACATACTCACACACATACACCACTTATACACTAATATAAGGTCAAAGTAACTGTTAGTAGATATGTCAACTGGAGGGAGTCTTGCTTTCCATTTGTCTTCATGTTTGTTTCTGTGCCAGATATGGGATTGTGTGTGTGTGTGTGTGTGTGTTTTGTTATTGTTACTAATTTTCACTATAACTCTGAA